CAATATAAAGTACATTAAAAACCCACTAAAATTGTAATCATTTTGTTATGTTCTTACACAAAGTAGACATAAAATATACTTTAAGTAAGGGTAACATAAGTATGTTTTCTGTAAATACACTAAAAAGTCACTAAAAGTATGCTTGTGTTTAGTATATCCTTTAAAAGTGTAACTACAAATATATTTATTAACATAGTATTTCTACTATACTTTTTATAAATACATTAAAAGTATGCTTCTGTTTAGCATATTTCTTAGAAGTATAACTACGCATATATTTAATACAAAAGTACTTCTAGTATACTTTTTAGAAATATATTAAAATGCAATTCAATATATTTTTATTACCCTTCAAATAAGCATGTTGGGAATACAAATGTATTATAAACATACTACTTGAATTTCAAGTATATTTTTAATACATTTAATACTACGTCTTTTTCACCTGGGAGAGGAGGCAGAGAAGTCTTTTGTCAGAAGACTAAGAAACTACTATAACAAATAAGGATACTACCAATACTGTAATGCAAATTGGTTTAGGATGCTGAATGAATGAATGGATGCATGAATGAATTTATTTATTTATTTATTCATTCATTCATTATTTATTTATTTCTGTAAAGTAACTGACAGTATATTCCAATGTGTGTTTACTGTAGATTCTGTTGTTTGGTTTTTGAACCTTTCTCTTGTAGTGCTTTTCATTTACTGTAAGATCTCTTTACAGTAGTGTAATGACAGTAAACTTTTCTTAAAGTTTATTGCTGAATTTTACTGTATCTGCACACCTCTATTTATGTCGTATACTGTAACAGACATTGACTAGCAAAATAATTCCTGTTTCCCAAAAGGAGGTTTTTGTAGCAGTGTTTTGGATTGATCTCACTAGTGTTCTCTAGGCAGGAAAATAGTCTGTGTATTTGACAGATTCCTGTTTCCCAAAAGGAGGTTTTTATAACAGTGTTTTGAACTGACCTCACTAGTGTTCTCTAGTCAGGAAAATAGTCTGTGTATTTGACAGGTTTGTGTGTCATCTGAGGCCAAAGTTTGAGTCTGACAAAAGAGAACATGTTTTTGACTAAACTATTTGATTTTGACCTGGAAGTTTGTGTGTAGTTTTGAGATTGTGTTTATAGTTGTGAGGAAATGGTGAATTGTTTCATGAATTGTGTTAGCAATCGAGAAAAACTGTATTGATAACTAAAACTAACATAAATAAATAAAACTAAAACTGTAAATAATAATAATAAAAACATTTATTTTTTATTAAAAATTATTTGTTACTTGAAATAAAATAAACATTAACTGAAATTAAATAAAATATAAAAAACCCTTAATCTTATTTTATTTCAGCTAGTTGCCAAGGCATCGTTTCTCATTTACATTTAAAGTATAAGTACTAAAATAACTAAAACTAAATAGACTAAAACTACTAAATAAAAATTAATAAATACTATATAGACTGTTAAAAGAAAAGCAAAACAAATGAAAATGACAAAAAACAACAACAAAATTACTAAAAGTTTAAAATTAAAGTATAAAAATGTATTCTAATTTAAAATAAAAAAAACTATAACTAATGCTGCAATAACACTGGTTATGATAAATAATATTTTTGTCTTGAATAAAACCAATTATTTTAGATTTTACATTTTTCAGTGTAATAGAGCTAATCTATACTAAATGGAAAAAAAAAAAACATTAACCAAAAATATGAAGCAGCACAACTGTTTCCAACATTGATAATAATCAGAAATGTTTCTAGAGCAGCAAATCAGCATATTAGAATAATTTCTGAAGATCATGTGACACTGAAGACTGGAGTAAAGATGCTGAAAATACAGCTTTGATTACAGGAATAAATTACATTTGGAAATCTACTGTATTACCATAGATTTTTTTTTTAAATTGTAATAATATTTCACAATATTACTGTGATTCTGTTATTAGTTGTGTGTTTTTGTCTATAATCACATTCAGTTCAAGCTGCAAACTCAGCTAAAGCATAATTTGTGCTCTGCTGCTGTACGGTGTTCGTCCCACATCAGCAGAAGAATGCAGATGTTCAATAACCATTAGTTCAGCCGAACATAATGAAAATCATTTAATTAAAAATTTAACCAGTTCTGTTTCTGGATTCCTGGCTCATCAGAGGTTTGAGTTCTCGCCGCGGTTCCTGTAGAGCTCTAGATTGACCTGATTTATCAGCGTGATCCAGCTGTAATTAATCCTTCCTCCTCAAAGGTCAGCCGCGGACACGCTTCCGTTGTGTGTGTGTGTGTGTGTGTGTTTGTGTGTGTTTGTGTGTGTGTGTGTGTGTGTTTGTGTGTGTGTGCATGCTTGTTTCATTCATGGACTGTTTACAAGTACAGTCATTGTGTGTTACAGTCTTAACTGTCCATTAAAATGATCATGTTGAAATGTTGATATGCACATGTGTGCTGCACACTCTCTTGTTGGTGCATTCTGGGAAATCTGATGTTCCTATCTCTGTCTCTCTCTCTCTCTGTCTGTCTCTCTGTAGCTGAAGACTGTCGACTGCTCTCTCAGATCCCGAAGGTGCGCTGCCTGAGAAACGAGCGCCGGGAAGGTACGTGTGAGATACATTCATATACTAAACATATTAAATGTTATAATAAATGCATATTGACACGTACTTCCTGCAAAGTTTAAATACACACACTTCTGTTACAAAGTTTTGAGTCAGTGAGATTTTAAAAAAATTATAATAAGAAGAAAAATAAATTCATTCTTTTATTTAGTAAGTAAGGATTAAATTGATCAAAAGTGCCAGTAAAGACATTTATAATGTTACGAAAGATTTCTATTTCAAATAAATGCTGTTCTTTTCAAATTTCTATTCATCAAAGAATCTTAAAAATAATTGTTTCATGGTTTCCACAAAAATATTCAGCAGCACAACTGTTTTCGACACTTAGAATAATCAGAAATATTTCTTGAGCAGCAAATCAGCATATTAGTATGATTTCTGAAGATCATGTGACACTGAAGACTGGAGTAATGATGCTGAAAATTCAGCTTTCATTACAGAATAAAATTACATTTGACAATATATTGAAATAGAAAACATTTATTTTAAATTGTAATAATATTTCAATTTTTTTTTGCTGTATTTTTAATCAAATAATTGCAGCCTTGGTAAGCAGAAGAGACGTCTTTCAAAAACATTAACGTTAAACATAAAAAACATTAGATCTGACCGACCCCAAACTTTTATAATGGTATTGTATATCTGCTTAAGGTAAATTAACTTTTAGATGAAGTTAATTCTACCAGACATGGATTAAAATGGCACAAAACTCCCATTTAGATTCGATGTGGCCTTTCCCAGGTAAAAAAATAAATACACTTAAGTTGTACTAATATCGATGCACTTATTATATTTTTATTATACTATACTAAGTGCATAATAAATGTGTTGTTTTGGAACAAAATATATTAAGTGCTCTTTAAGATATGCTTAAGATGAACTTTAAGCTAATTGTAATATATTTTAATATATTTAGTTGTGTTAAAATGGAACAACTTAAAGTAACTTAAGTGTAATTTAATTGTAGTTCTTCACATTATTTACAATACACTTTTATGCTTTTTGAAGTACAGTTAGAATATACTGTATTTTAAGCTTCACTTTAATGTGCTTCTAGTACATTTTCAATAGCATTTCAACTCATCATAAATCACCAACACACTATTAGTTTGTTATAAAGCTATATTAAAAAGTACAAAAATCATTAAATGAGCATTACACACACGTACACACACTTTCACATCTAGAAGACTTTAATTTGCTATATCTTGTGTACATTAGAACAATTAATTCATTGAGTACTTTTAAAAAGTACAGCAGCATATACAAACTCTTGACCAAAATAATTGTAATAAATTATAATAAATTAAAATAAAGATCAGTGAAATGCTATAAAATAACTATTTCAATCAATTTGTAGAACATTTCTGTTATACCTGTATTACTGGAAAGTACACTATAAATATTCCATCACTGAATAAAAATGAATCACAATGCTATTTTGCGCACACACACACACACACACACATACATAAAGAAGTTACTGAAAAACAATAAAGCGCAGGTGTGAATAAAGTGCCGTTTTTTTTTTTTTTTTACAAAGTTAAGCCTGCAAATGGCTAAACCGAACAAAGAAAGAACATTTTAAATGTTACCATCGCCATGTTCAAGTGGAGGATCACTTTTATTTGAGTACGACTTGTTGCATTTTCTGCAACTGAGGGCTTGCAATTCAGACACTGTGGTCTTATGAAAACTGCATCGCAGGGTCTGTGAAAGGAAAAATAATTAATCAGTGGTTTTGAGTGGTGTTATTGAATATCATATGTATTTTAATTTGCATAGATATGCATAGAATTTCTGTTCTCACCTTTCAAAGCTTCACACGAGCGTCTGTTTTTATCCTCTTGACTGTCATCATCATACAGCACTCTGTGTTACATTGAACATAACGTTAATGAGGCCTAACATCTCTTCGACAGAAGTGCTGAATCCAAAGTTAGCATGACACTCAGAGCCCCAACAGTCACTTTATTAGGAAATATGTCAGCCAGAATAAAACCTGTGAGATCCATTGATATGAGATTAAAATGAGATTTATTTAAAAATAAAACCAGAATCACTGAGTTGGAAAAAGGATCAGCCCCTTGTGTCAGTATTTTGTTGAATCACCTTTTGCTTTAATTACAGTCTTTAGTCTGTGGGCTATGTCTCTGTCTACTAACTTTGCACATCTAGACTTTGCAATATTTGCACACTCTTCTTTGCAGAACTGCTCAAGTTCAGTTCAATTTGATGGTGAGCGTTTGTGGGCTGCAGTCTTCAAGTCATTCCACAGATTTTCAGTGGGGTTTCAGTCTGGGCTCTGACAGGCCATGCAAGAACATTCAGCTTTTTCTCCTTCAATAACTGTGCTCAGTTCTGCCGTGTTCTTTGGGTCATTGTCATGTTGGAAGGTAAACCTTCTTCCCATTGACAACTTTCTGGCAGAGGGCAGCAGATTTTCCTCAAGA